TAGGACTTACCATGGCCGGAATTTTGTCTTTTGACTTAGAACTCATTGAAAATCAATAGTCAAAATGCCCTCTGTATTGCCTCACTAAGAAAGGCGGAATACTCAAAGGTAACAAAATTGATTCAAAAAGACGAGCATGGTATGAAATCTGGAACGATTTTTTGAAATACTAGTGCTAATATTTTAACATGTTGTAGTCATGAACCAGTTTTACAATTTATTCTAAAGTTTTGGGAAAATGGGCCAGGAAAAATTTTGCTGATAAAAGCGTTACCACTTAGACTATCAAAGAAAAAAACTCACAGCTCATAATCAGATGAGCGCCCACTGGGATCTCGAAAGCCCTTTGCGAATGGGTTTTTCTCAATTTTCAGCTTTGTTATCAGTTGATTTTGATAAGCTGTAACAGCCATGAACTGTGTCTCTTTGAACTGAAACGTTTTGTAGTGCTCACTGCGTAAATCGATGGTCATCACCTGTAAATAGAAAATTTTCGGTAATGAATCTTGGTTTTAATAAGAGCTTTAATTTTACCGCTTATAGCAGTTTTCGAGAATGGGATAATAACTAATTATAGAAATGCAACTGGCTGGAACAAGCTATGAACCAGTTGCCGCCCCAAGAATTCAAGTAATTAAGTAATTAATCGAAAATAATCGGATGGCTGGTTAAAAAGTTGGAAAAATCAAGATTTATTTCTATATGCTTTTTGCAAATGACTTTTCGAATGTTAGAAATTTTTTTCTAAAAAACGAATTCTCAAAAATTACAGTAGTACTTTTTGTTTGAATAAAATTTTACTTGTTCAATCGGCCTTTCTCGTGGCCTTCGTACAACGTGCACCCGTGGCTGATATTTATGCATCGAGTTTAAAATTAACTGCAATTAATTAAAAAATATGTTACACTTCAACAAGAATTGAATTCAGGCGTAACTAATATTTAAGACATGCGCAGTTCATGTATGCGCATAAACGAAAATAAATAAGGCAAATAAGTAGGTGCGTATAATAATTCCTTAGTTGATAAGACACCCGAAGGCGGCTCAACGAATGGAGACTAGAAAATCAAAGAACCTTATTAACTAGGAAATCGAAGAAAGTTAACGCATCTCAAGGATATCTTGGAACAGCTCAAGCCTTATCAAATACAGTGGTACCACAAGAATCGCTGAACCGGCAATCTTTTCAAGAGTTGAAAACCATATTTGAACCCCAAGCAAATCAAAAACCAAGCGGAGCGCCATTGTTCAAAACAAATCAAAGCAATTCAGTGGATATGTGGAGAATCGCGCAATGTACTAAACCTGGACAAAATATTCCAGTTAATATTACAATATGAGTATTTTGTAAAAAATTAGTTTCGGTACTAAATATTAATGATAGCTTAACAAATTCCAGTAAATTGGTAAATCATCCAACCAATAGTTTAGGTTTTAGCATGATTAAAACAATACATAAATAAAGTAGTAGTAAAGCTTTAATGCGCAGCTGTCAAAGAAATAAGAACTAAATTTGATTTGGAAAATACAAAAATTAAATGAAAAATTAAGAAATCTAACATGTCCAGTTTTGTCCACTTCATTATTGGTCAGCTTTGCTTTTTCAAATGATATCACCTGCTTACAGAGCTGCAAAAAAACTTTAGTAAGCTCTTCAGAAGAACTGAAATTTTTTCCATGAAAATATTCTTTCTTTGACGAAAACGTTGCAAATTTCATTCGTAAGAAGCATTAAGATTAATGGAGTTTTCACCTAGATCTACATGCGTTTTGTCGATTGCATCTCTTATCATCATGCATCCATGCTAGAAGAATGCTTATGCTTACAGCGAAATTACGCCAAAACACTGCCTCATGAAGCACACACACACACACACACACACACACGCACACACACACATACATACATACGTAAACATACACATACACACACAACAGTTATATAATAGCACCTCTAAAAATTTTTAAAGGCATTTTTTTCCAGGAACTCAAGATTTCAGGACTTAAAGCTTGTGTGAAAACTTTTGATAGTGCTGTTACTGGAATACTCTCGCGCGCTAGGGGCAGTTATGCCAGGTTTTTTCACCACACCTGATTTCTCACCTTCAGCGAGCACCTAGCAGCTATTCGAAGCTATACGCCATCGCCCCGAAAGCCGCCCAATAGTCGTTTACTTTTCCACAAGTATCACTCAGCTGCCAGCCAAAAGCAAGTGCGTGCTCGGTTGTCTCTTTTTTCCCATATCACTTACGCCTAACTTAGGTACCGAGAAGCACTCGTGCAATAAAATCTTCCAAACATTTACTTCCGCCTAATCAAAGCTTTTAGCAAAAAATCAGTGTACCTGTTCACCGGTAAATGGAGAATCAGGATGCATGTACAGGCGATTGCGAGGAGCAGGCTCGGCTTTGCCAGCTGTAAGCCAGGAAGACTTATTGTAAATATACCGATAACGTCGATTATCCACCGGTATCACATCCAGAAAAACATAGTAGAACGCATCCGAATCACAGCCACCAATGCTTAGTTTCATTGTCGGAAACATGCGCCTGGAATTCCACTAATAATCACAGAAACAGTAAAAAATGTGTAAAAAAGTTTTTATTAAAATTGGCATTGTAATAAAACTTATGCACGCAAACGTGGTCACTCATCAGAGCTTAAGAGGGAGCGCTGGCCAGGACGAACAGCACGACCGAAGAGTACTTGGCGTATCTTCCCGCGACCATATAAAT